AAAGTAAGCCACCTACCACAATTCTAGTGTCTATGATCTCTAAGCACACTACAGCTATGTCACTACACTAAGTTAGTGTGCTCTCAAAGACTAACTAAAGAGCCACACTAACTACTAGACCCGACACAAGCTTGCTCTCAAAACTAATTACAATAAAGAGCGAAGCAACACTAGAAATGTAAATGCAAGGCAGGGGATGTGATGATTATACCGTCGTGTAGAGGAATTGAGCCAATCACAATGATAAAGCCAATCAATCACAATGAATACCAAGAAATCATCGGTCTTGTAGAATGATTCATCAATTATATCACAAGTTAAGCCTGTCACATGTTACAATATGTTCCTTCTCATTTTGCTCATCAAGTTGAGAGGAATGAGCTTTTTCAAGCTTCTTGTGAGCCTTGCCAAGCTTCTCATGGGTTTCCTCTAGCTTCTCATGAGATGCATTGAGCTCATCAAAGCCTTGCTTAAGGGCTTTAAGTTCCTTACGCAAGCTTTTGCATTTCCTTCTTTTAATGTCAAAATGTTCCTTAGCATCATCTAATATGTCAGGTAGTTCATTTTTAGTAGGTTCATCATCATCACTATCATTTTTATTTTCATTTTCGTTATCATGTTCCTCATCACATTCATCATCACAAGTTTGTACCTTAGTGCCTTAGCCATGAAGCATGATTGAGTGTCAAAGAGGGAATGCTTCTCATTTATAGCAATGCTTACAAGAGCTTTCTTCTTGGTGGTCTTGTCATCATCACTATCATCATCATTTGAGGAGGCATCACTATCCTAAATGACCACATATGAACCACCCTTCTTCTTTATGGTTATCTTGTCCTTCTTCTCTTTCTTTTCCTTCTTTTCCTTCTTGTCATCATCATTATCGCTATTGTATGGGCATTGAGTAACAAGATGATCCTTACTTCCACACTTTAAGTACCTTCTTAATTCTTCTTTTTTCTTAGATGAAGACTTCCTCCTTCTAGCACGGTAGCCCTTCTTCATCATGAACTTACCATATCTCTTGACAAAGAGAGTCATCTTCTCATCATCATCATCATTCCATGAACCATCATTTTTACTTGATGTATCTTGCTTGGCCTTGCCCTTGGATGATGAACCGGCCTTGAATGCCACACTCTTCTTCTCATTGTTCTTTTCTTTCTTCTCATCATCATTTCTATAAGCATCATCGGTCATGATATCTCCCAAGATTTGGTTTGGTGTCATTGTGTTCAAACCGGTCCTCACTAGTAAGGTGACCAACATGCTAAATCTTGCGGGTAAGTATCTCAAGAACTTATGGGAGAAGTCCTTGTCCTCCACCTTCTCACCAAGTGCTTTGAGATCATTGACAAGCACTTCCATCCGATAAAACATGTCCGGCACACTCTCATCTTCCTTCATCTTGAAGCTAGCAAAATTTTCCTTGAGAATGTATGTCTTTGCACTCTTTTTTGCCTTGGTGCCCTCAAATGATTCTTCCAACTTCTTCCAAGCTTCATGAGCCATCTCAATGTTCTTGATTTCCTCAAATGTTATCTCATCAATAGCATTATGAATAGCACTAAGAGCAATGTCATTGTTTTGAAGAAACAGTTCTTCGGTCGCGGTGGGATTCTCCGGATCGGCTATCTCAATTTTGGTCTCCACCACCTTCCACACTCTTCTATTGATTGACTTTATATGAGTGGTCATCTTTGACTTCCAATATGGATAATTTGTACCATCAAATTAGGGTGGCTTCTTGGTGTTGTTGATTTGAGCCATTTTAACACCGAAGGTTGTTAAGCCTCAAATCACGGTGACCACGGCTTTGATACCACTTGAAAGGTCCTAACGGCTATTAAAAAATTTCTGCAACAACACTTAGCAAATATGTTAGACAATTAAACGGCGAAGCGAGTGTTGCGCTAGCCTAATAAAAGCAAGCCACCTACCATAATTCTAATGTCTATGATCTCTAAGCACACAATGGCTATGCCACTACACTAAGTTAGTGTACTCTCAAAGACTAACTAAAGAGCCACACTAACTACTAAACCCGACACAAGCTTGCTCTCAAAACTAATTACACTAAAGAGCGAAGCAACACTAGAAATGTAAATGCAAGGCATGGGATGTGATGATTATACCGTCGTGGAGAGGAATTGAGCCAATCACAATGATGAAGACAATCAATCACAATGAATATCAAGAAATCCTCGGACAAGATGGCACAAGATTTTTTATCGAGGTTCACTTGCCTGCCGGCAAGCTAGTCCTCTTTGTGGCGATACACTCACTTGGAGGTTCACGCGCTAATTGGCATCACACACACCAAATCCTCTATAGGGTGCCGCACAACCAACACAAGATGAGGATCACACAAGCCATGAGCAATCCACTAGAGTACCTTTTGGCTCTCCACCAGGAAAAGATCAAGAACCCCTCACAATCACCATGATCGGAGCCGGAGACAACCACCTTCCTCCGCTCGACGATCCTCGCTGCACCAAGTCGTCTAGGTGGCGGCAACCACCAAGAGTAACAAGCGAAACCTACAGCGAAACACGAACACCAAGTGTCTCTAGATGCAATCACTCAAGCAATGCACTTGGATTCGCTTCCAATCTCACAAAGATGATGAATCAATGATGGAGATGAGTGGGAGGGCTTTGGCTAAGCTCACAAGGTTGTTATATCAATGTAAATGAGCCGGTCATGGGGCTTAAATAGAGCCCCCCTTGAAATAGAGCTGTTGGGCTCTCACTGCAGCCCAACTCAGGGCGACCGGATGCGTCGGTCAGATCGACCGGACACACTAGCCCTAGCGCCCGGTCATCGATCGCTGTTCACGTGTCCCCCGCGTTCAACCTCGCGCGTACGATTTCAACGGTCAACTCGCTTCCTCGCGTGTGTTAAAGAACGACCGGACGCGCCACAGTCCAAGACCGGACGCGCCGGTGCTCACTTCAGCCCATGCGCGCGCCCAAGCCTTCACCCTGCGACCGGATGCGCAGCTCACCACCACTATGTAGCGTCAGGTCGACTCCAGAGAGGTTATAGAGAGGCAAAACCGTGACCTGACACGTCCGGTCCAACGTGACCTGACGCGCTCAGCGTCCGGTCCTCTCTGGTCAGCTCCTCCGCGTTGCGTTAGCGTACGTCAGCAGGGACTGGACTCACCCGCCTGAGCGTCCGGCCACTTCGTGACCTGCGCCCGGTCACTGTTTCACAGTGACAATCACATCATTCACTTCACCAACTTCTCCACCTTTTCTCAAATGTGCCAACCACCAAGTGTATCACTTTGTGCACGTGTGTTAGCATATTTTCACAAACATTTTCAAGGGTGTTAGCACTCACTTGAATCTAAATGCATATGCAATGATTTAGAGCATCTAGTGACACTTTAATAACTGCATTTCGATACGAGTTTCACCCCTCTTAATAGTACGGCTATCAATCCTAAATATGACCATACTCGCTAAGTGTCTCGATCACCAAGCCAAAAAGCTCATATCAAGTTTCACATTTGCCTTGAGTTTTTTGTTTTTCTCTTTCTTCTTTTCCAAGTCCAAGCACTTGATCATCACCATGGTCACACCATCATCATGATCTTCACCATTTGCTCCACACTTGGAATAGTGCTACCTATCTCTTGACCACTTTGATAAACTAGGTTAGCATTTAGGGTTTCATTAATTCACCAAAATTAAACTAGGGCTTTCAGAGTCCTGCACGGGATGGCCGACGTCGCGGAGGGGGGCGGCCTTGGTCTTCAGGCGCTGGCAGTATGCCGAGATGGTGGAGTCGCCCTGCACCATGGAGTGGAACTCGTTGAGGAGGAAGATGGTGCGCAGCTCCTTGTTGTCGTGGATGATCCCCTCAATGGCCACTCAGAGGTCGCGGGCGGTCGGGTCGGGCTTGTCCATGGAGAGATCGAGGATGGAGTCATCAACGGAGCCGAGGATCCAGCCGCGAACGCAGCACTCCGCAGCGTCCCACTGGGGGTCATCGGGCTGAGGAAGAGCGGAGCCGTCGATGTGCGAGCGAAGCCCGAATTTGCCGCACAACGACTTGAAGAACGCCCACTTCGAGTAGTTGGAGTTCAGCTCCAACATGAAGGGGACGTGGGATTTGACGGAGACCGTGGCGTAGGGATGAGCCACGATCGGCGGCGGGGGTGCGACAAGACCGGCGCCGTGGGCACCTATGGAGCCGTTGCGGGGCCGGGATGGTTCCGTTGGTGGAGGCTGGCATGGTGCTGGTGCTGAGGGAGAGATCAGTAACCATCGCCGGGGAGGGAGGAAGCCATCGGGGAGGTGGGATGGGCACGAGGACGTCTCGCATGCGTGCTGCGCGACCGAGCGCGAGAGTCGCGGTTGGGAAAGAGAAGGGAGGGGGCGGATCGGGAAAGAGAAGGGAGGCGGCGGAAGATTAGGATCTAATTGGCTGATACCATGTAGAGAGATAGGGAAACACTATATATATATATATATATATATATATATATAGCCCAATGGAGCTTGGAGTACAACATATCCAAATACAATGTATACAGGACTATACATGTCTAATAGTTATCGTGACATGCAAGATGTCCACCTCAGCAGTCTACTATCACTTGCAACTAAACCCACTAGAATGTTATCTGGACATGCAAGATGTCCACCTCAGTAGTTCACTATTACTTGCAATTAAAGTTCACTAGCACGAACAATTATGATATTCACGTCAGCGAGACACATCATCCACTAACATACATTTAGCTGTCCACATCAGCATTGCCACGCTATTCACTATATAATAGTTAACCCCTTCATAAAAATTGTATGAATAGTTTAATATTTCAATCTCAACTAGTAGTTCTCATACTTCTAGTACTGTTATATACTTATATCTTTTTGCACAAGCAGAACTGTACGTAGTAAACATCTGCATGCTGATGATTTCCCAGCCAGCTTTAGCGATCTGGTTTTCTAATTTGTTTATGTGTACTCATGTTACCTTGGCAGATTACTGGGTTAACGAACAATTCATACTTTGATGGAGCACACGATGTTCGACATTGTGTCAGAAAGCATCCAGATCTTGGTCGTATTGTGCTTGAAGTTGCTAAGGTATATATCAAAGATGAATGTCGTGAAAGACTGTTTTTGGTGCGCATCCCAATGGCCAAAGCATATGATACATTATTTATTAATTATATATCCTCCAGCATGCGAAAACAGTAAAACACCACTGTGTTGACTATACTGTCATGCAGAAGGAACTTAATTAGTATAGGTAATGCATTATGACAATAACATTCACTAAAGCAAATATATTCATTCACTATACAAAGGGTCTGGAATTTTTTATATACTTCCCTCCCAAAAGTAATGTCATCATTTTTTTTATTACAGAATAGGCTGGACCAGATGCTATATGTAGGACTTACGGAGGTTCATGAAGAATCAGCGAGTTTGTTTGCTCATATGGTAGGAGCACAGGTGCTTTCACAATCTGGGACATTGAATTTAGATCTCAAGGAAGATCTGCCCAGTGAGACTGGTATTACACATTGCAATCTGGTGGCCCTAACTTATAATTGTGTCTTCAGTAGCACCATTATTTTATAAACCAATGGGCAACAGCTCAACTTTATCTTTTATTGAAACTGAAAGATAGTACTGCTAGGTTTTGATGATAAATTCGCTAACAAATTAGCAATGCATCGCTTCAGTTGTTGAAACCCAAGTATAGATTCATACATCAATAGAGGCATGTTATGTGCATCCCTGATCAAAATGAATGTGAGTTTGAACCGGCATAACATTCAGCAAAGTTCAAACTAGTGGAACGAAGCTGCTCACCAACCACTAAATGCATAAGCAGCACTCTTATCGTGCCTGGTGTAGCAGTTCAAGTAGCAACCTATGGTTTTGTTCATGATTTGCTGCACACTAAAATCATTAGGGCAAGTATATATGAAAAAGGTGACTTGAAGAAATAACTTAACATTAGGTTCTCGGTGTATGGAAAAAAAGTGACTTGAAGAAATAATTACACAAAGAAATATTATGTTCATTCTTGGTGTATGGTTCCCCATATTCTTTTGATACAGTTTTGACAACACAAAGATGATAAATGAGGACCTAATCTCTACTGTTCACAGACTCACACCCATCCATGGTGGAGCACGAGGATGAAGAAACAAATGAACATCTGGTATGAGGGTGGTTAAACCTTTTAATTGAGCTGTTTAGTTTTGCGGATTAGATGGTGGAATCTGTACACTCCATCTCATATTTATGTTCTCGTGATAGAATAACGCACATGGTTGGCAAAATAATGAAGCCCTGAACTCTACCAGCGACGAACATGGAAAAGGAAATGTAATACACTACTTGAAGGGCTCAATTATTTGTGTAGAGTTTTCATTCCTTCTTTTTTTTTGCGAACCTTGTGTAGAGTTTCCTGTTATTATCCTGTGATCACAATGTTAATTTATTCCTGATGCCAGATGACTATTGGTAAACTGATGGAAGCTTATGAAACTTGCATTGCTGAACTGCGGAAGGTTGAATCTAGCCGTCGTAAAATATCACTAAAGAAAGTGGAAGCAAGGTTTCCAAAAGAGGTAACGACCAAATTAAAGGGCAATGAAGTTTATGCACATTGAAGATTGCTCTTGATTCATTTTCTATTTTACGATTATAAAAATTTGCACCATATGTGGATACCTGATTCCTTTATCTCTGTAAATATCGAGCACAAAATGAGGCTTAGAAAAAGGAAATAGGGATACAAATGCTAAGGCTAATGTGCCCAAAACTTCACAATCATTCTTGTGCTTATCTTTTTGTCATCATAACACAAAACACCAAAGATAATTGGAAGTTTCTGCTTGAGTTTCTAGCTTATGTGGATACCTGATTTCTTCCTCTCTATAAATAGCAAGCACACACTGAGGCCAATTAAAAAAAATAGAGATACAAATGCTAAGGCTGATGTGCTCAAAACTTCACAATCGTTGATGTGCTTTTTGTCATAATGCATCAGTCAAATAATAGTTGGAAATTTCTACTTGTTTCTAGCTTATATTATATATGAGTGCTTTCATATTTTGATAAAAAAATATGAGTGCTTTCTTATTAGAATGTTTCAGCAATGACATAGGAAGTTCTGTTTGCAGGCACGGAAGCTGGTACCTGAGGCAATTTTGAAACAAATTATCTCGTTGAACAGCCTTGACATGGAACTTTATGATCATGCTAAGAAAATTTTTACCCAGGAACATCTTCTGATGTTAAAAGCTCAGCAATCCATGGTGGGGCAGCACAGACAGTTGGGAGAACAAAAGGTTTGCTCAAACTCAAAAGAGAACTACTCCAGTACTTTGTTATGCGGTTCATTTTAGTTTGACAAGGTTTTCCTGCAAGAATTCAGAACCTCAGTGATGTTAGTTTTCCAATTTTTTGACATAACATTAACATTGCATATTCTAGTATTTGATGCATGCGCACATGCCAGGGAGGAAAAACACGATAGGATATAAGATGAACCATTCTCGTATGCGGTGGAACTGTGAAATGAAGAATTGTACTTCTGCTATTAGCAGTCCTCATGTGCTTTGCCTTATCTCTTTCAGGAGGGCCGGATCAGCATAATCTGGAGCGACGGGATTTGCTCTGCGGATGGTGGTCTTCCTTGGATGGTGGTCTTCCTTGGTCTAGGGATCACCACAATCATAGTTTTGGTCACATTAGCTGTAATGATGAGAAAAAGAACGTCTAAACTTGCTTTAACCAGAATTCATGAGGCAGTCTCTAGATTTTGATGTACAATGTGATGATGCCCCCAGACATTACCCTTAGCATTCTTTGGGGCAGAGGTGTTAGCGTCCACAGAATCATCGTGTATACTCAGTGCGGTCTTACTGGTGCCAGACCATTTTTTCTCTCGATCACGCAAAAGATTTACGCGCCTTTATATTAGGATAGAGAAAAAGTTCGATACAACATGCCTTAGCGGCACCCTAGGGAGTCAATAAAGATTTACATGGGCTATTACATTAGACAATGATCAACCTAAATTTACGGCGCCGGCAAGGAGGCTTACGCCCGGGCTACCGAGCGGCGGCGCTGCTTTCGCGCGTACGTCGCCATCCAGTGGGAACAACTCACACAACGCCTGCATATGAGCGGGTCCCCATTGAATATTTCTTCGTACACCAAGGGCCGACTTGGCGGAGACGGCCTCCCACTGGAAAGTCCCAGGCGCTTTCATGACAAGGTACTCATCTCGCTTGGCTTCCGGGATTTGAGCTATGCTTTGCACCACTATCCGCCTGGTTCGCTTGGGGAGCGAGGGTGCTGCATGTCCGCCGAGGGCTGTCTCAACTCCGGGCAGCTCCGAAGTGGTGGCTGCCTTGCCTTTGTGATTCGCTCGGTGAAGCGCTTGAGACGCCTGTCGGCCGAGGTCGTCTGAGGTGAAGGAGTGCAGTTGATGGTGTCCGTCTCGGTCACCGTTGTCACGTCTCCCAAGGTAGTTGCCTTGACCAGTGCCGGGCTCAAGGGCCGGGGAGGGGTGGCCGCGTCCGCTCCTGGGGGGATGGCGCTGGAGTGCCCCTCGACATCCACAGGCTATCCCCAGTGGCGGCGTGACTTGTGGCTGCTCTAGCACAAGCGACAACGGAGGCGAGTCCGCCGTCCGCTTGGCAGCCTTCGCCGGAAAAGGGGGGTCCACCAACGATGGTTCCACATCCTGAGAGGCGGCCATCGGAGCAAGCGATGGTGCTCCTGCTGATTGGCTCACGACGAGTGAGGCAACAAGCTCCTCCAGCATTGGCTCGACCCACGCAGGAGGCCCCGCGCTTGCGCACAGCTCCCACACCAGTGGATCGGGGAAGCAGTGTGCAGCAGCATAGGTAGCAGCATTGTGAGCGGGCGCGCCCATGTTGATGTCTCTCGCCGGTTTGCTCCGGCACCACCAGCGTTGTCATTGGATTCCAACGCCCCCCCACGATACCCTACACGGCCCTCTCCAAGCTCGGTGGACTGCTGTAGGCACGTGCTAGGAGTCCGATGGGCAGTCGCCACAAGAAGAGTGCCATGGAAGGTCACCTCCCTTTGCCGTTGTCGCCGCAAGGGACCTGGGTGGCTTGCAATCCCTGGTGTGGTGGCGAAAGCCGTGACATCGCAGGCAACATCGTGGCAACTGGCAAGTCTCTACTCGGTGCGAGTAGGAGAGACAGTTGAAACATTTGACGTGATGCTCCGTGAGGATCCTCTAAGCCTGTGAGAGCTATTTTCGGCGATGCTCAACCGAGGCGGCCACGGGTTGCGTCTCCTACCTAGGATGGATCCCTTGCCACCCATTGGCGATGGGGCGGAGACCCGTCCGCGGTGGTGAAAGGTCCTTGTTGGTTTTGGTAATTGAGTGACAACCTAGGTGGACTAATTGTGTTTATGTGAGATACACATGTGATTAGTCCACAGGTACATGTGTGTGAGCAGCATATGCCATGAAGGTGAAAATGGCTTAGAGATGTTGCAAAGCTCACACATGTGATGATGAAGGAGCTTATTGCACATGAGACATGACATTGAGTCATGTGATCAAGGTGGAGAAGATCAAGACAAGACTTGGCTTGATGGACCGGTTGCAAGCGTGAAGGGCAAGTCAAAGGCTTTGGAGTGATGGACCGCGTGGCGGTGAAGCTTGAGCAAGACTTGGCGCCGATGGACGATGGCGACGGTGAAGGGCAAGTGAAGTCAAGATCGATGAACCAATATGATCACGTGATGATATGAAGTGGATCATATCATTGTTGATAGTGTTGGTGCATGTGTTGCATCGACATTGGAGGAGATGGAATGGAATGCGCAAGGCAAAGGTATAACCTAGGGCATTTCATTTCACCGGTCATAGGTGTGTAGAGAAGTTTATGACCGGGTTTAGGATAGATGGCCGTACTATCAAGAGGGGCAAACTTGTTTGCATATCGGTCATCTAGTGCCACTCGAGTGATCTAACTTTGCATTGTCGCTAGGATCGAGTGGTGTGGCAAGTTGAGTGGCTAACATCCTTTGGGAAATGTTTGTGAAAATGCTAACACACATACACATGGTGGTGTACACTTGGTGGTGTTGGCACATTTACAAAGGAGGTGGTGTTTGTAGGGTTGAGATGGGTTTGGGTCCCTCTCTCCCTCCCGCCGAGCTTGCGAGGCGGGATTCGGCGCTTTCGGGAAAATAGAATGCCTATTTTCTATTGCGCCGGATGCAAATTCTTGGTGGTTAGCACATTGGAGCAAGGGTGAAGAAGTTAGAAGTCAGAACGAGTTGGTCATGAAGATGCTGGCGTCGGTCAACTGACCGGACGCTGGATCTGAATGCACCGCCGACGGCCGGTGGCCGGCTGCGTCGGCCAAGGCGACGCATCGATGACGATAAAGCCGGAGAGTGACCGGACGCTGGTGTCTTTGCGTCCGATCAAGCGTTCGACCGACGCGTCCGGTCATGCTCGGGAGCTTACTGGAAACGACCGGACGCTGAGGTCCAGCGTCCGGTCAGTTGAAGCTGCTGCGTCCGGTCAGGTCAAGTGACCGTTGGAATCGGGACACGTGGTCGTCTGCGGGCGACTGAAAGCTCTAGTTTGGTTTTGGTGAATTGATGAAACCCTAAGTGCTAACCTAGTTTATCAAGATGATTATGAGATAGGTAGCACTACTCCAAGTGATGAAGCAATGACGAAGATCATGATAATGGTGATAGCGTGGTGATGATCAAATGCTTGAACTTGGAAAAGAAGAAAGAGAAAAACAAAAGGCTCAAGGCAAAGGTATAAAATGTAGGAGCCATTTTGTTTTAGTGATCAAGACACTTAGTGAGTGTGATCACATTTAGGATAGATAGCCGTACTATTAAGAGGAGTGTAACTCGTATCGAAATGCGGTTATCAAAGTGCCACTAGATGCTCTAACTCATTGCATATGCATTTAGGATCTAGTGGAATGCTAACACCCTTGAAAATATTTGTGAAAATATGCTAACACATGTGCAAAAGGTGTTTGCAGGGTTGAGATGGGTTTGGGTCCTCTCTCCCTCCCCGCCGAGCTTATGAAGGCGATTCAACGCTTTGGAAAAATGAAATGTCTATTTTCTATTGCGCCGGATGCAAAATTCTTGGTGGTTGGCACATTTGAGCAAGGGTGAGGAAGTTAGAGTTGAAATGGAGTTGGTCGAAATAATCAAGGCGTCGGTCCCGTGGACCGGACGCCGAATCCGTAAGCACCGGACGCCGACCGCTGCGTCCGGTCCACTGACTTCAATGACCTGATAGGAAGGTTGAGCACCGACGCCGGTCTGCGTCCGGTCAAGGTGGACCGACGCGTCCGGTCGAAGAAACATGCCTCGGGAGCTTCTTTGAAACGCACCGGACGCCGAGGCTTCAGCCGCCGGTCGGGCTCGAAGGAGCAGCGTCCGGTCGAGGCCGATGACCGTTGAGTCCGGACACGTGGTGACATTGAGCGACCGGACGCCGAGAGCCAGCGTCGGGTCGGTCTGACCGAGGCGTCCGGTCGAACGCTGCTTTGCCCAAAGGAAGGGTATAACGGCTCTATTTGATGGGGCTCTATTTATAGCCCCATGGCCGCTCAAGGATAACTCTTGCACATTTTCATTGACATAGCAAGCTTGTGAGCCTAGCCAAAGGACTCCCACTCATCTACATCATTGATTCATCATCATAGTGAGATTGGGAGTGAATCCAAGTGCATTGCTTGAGTGATTGCATCTAGAGGCACTTGGTGATTGTGTTTCATCACTGGATTTCGCTTTGTACTCTTGGTGGTTGCCGCCACCTAGACGGCTTGGAGCAGCAAGGATCGTTGAGTGGAGGAGGTGATTGTCTCCGACTCCGATCGTGGTGATTGTGAGGGGTTCTTGACCTTTCCTCATGGAGCGCCAAAAGGTACTCTAGTAAATTGCTTGTGGCTTGTGTGATCCTCATCTTGTGTTGGTTAGCGGCACCCTATTGAGGGTTTGGTGAGTGATGCCAATTAGCGTGAACCTCCAAGTGAGTGAATCGCCACAACGAGGACTAGCTTGCCGGCAAGTAAGTGAACCTCGGTAAAAATCATTGTGTTCATCATTTGATTCCGAGGTGATTGGTCATCATTGTTATTCATCTTCGTGATTGATTGGTTCATTTATCTACACGACGGTATAACCCTCTTGATCATTCTCTTTACTTTACCATAAACTAGTTGACAAGCTCTTTAGTGTAGCTAGTTGTGAGAGCTTGCATGCTTGGTTGGTGTGGCTCTTTAGTTAGCCTTTGAGAGCACACTAACATAGGGTAGTGTCATTGCTCTTGTGTGAATTGACACTATCTAAACTAGAATTGTGGTAGGTGGCTTGCATTTTTGAGTAGGCTAAGCGCAACACTAGCTTCACATATAATTGTCTAACCATTTGGTTAAGTGTTGTTGTAGAAATTTTTATTAGGCTATTCACCCCCCTCTAGCCATTAGGACCTTTTTTCAAATGACCGGACGCCGAGGTCCAAAGGGCTCGTCCGTCCGATCGGACCGAGCGTCCGGTCGTCCCGACCGCTGCCCGATGAAGGGGTAACGGCTAGTTTAGCCCTTGGGGCTATAAATAGAAGTGGCCCTCGGCCATGGCTGGGGCTGAGCACCTCAAGGGACTTAGTGTCCATGCTTGTGAGTGCTTGGGAGCCCTCCATCACACATATACTTGATAGTGATCATTCGATTGTGTGAGTGAGCGATTCTAGTGCGATTGCATCATGAGGTTGCATCGAGTGGCACTAGGT